CTGCCATGGCCACACACACTCCCTGTGGTCCAAGGAGCACAGGGAACCAGGGCAGCAGGGACTGACAAAACAACCTGCACAGCCTGGGCCAGGGGCTGCTTCTGACCCTGAGCAGACACAGAACTGCATCAAACAACAAAAATCAAACTGCCTGATCTTAACAGGCTCCAGCACATGTCTCTGATCTCCTCCATCAGCTAATTACTCTCACTCTTGTACAGAGTCCGTATTGATTAGTATCAGCAACACTTGCAGCTCATGAAAGGGTTTTTTGTTTGGTTTTTATCAGCTAAAGAGAACTCGTCTGCACGTGATAAAACACAAACCAGCCTCTCTTCTCCTGGTGGTGTCATTTACAACACCCAGAACCCTGCAGCTGTAGCTCTCACCTCAACATGCTCTGTTTGAGGAGCTCCAACCACCACAGACTCATATCCCAGCTCTGCTGACCCACACCAAGCTGAGGAAGTTACCTCTGCCAAGAGCCAAACCATCCACACCACTGATGCTTTAGTGCACCCACCCTGCACTTACCCTGCACTAGATATTCTTCAGCCTGTGTTGGCTCATTTGCTTAAATTTCCTTTTAAGATAATGGAAATTATATATTGATAACCAAGTAGATTAAGTGTTATCTCAGAAAAGCCAGCTTTGAAAAGCCAGGCTGCAGGCTCAGCATGCAGGGCCCTGGGTCACTGCAGCTCTCAGTGCAGAGAGCTGCTGCTGCAAAGGTAATTTCCCAATGGCTTTAGCTGCATGTCATTACCCTCCCTTCAACCCCAGAGCTCAGGGGAGACAAACCTTCCTCTGCAGAGGGGAGACCAAAACTGCCACAGGAGGAGAACTGCAGACTTCCACAGAGAATTCAGGAAATAAGGTTTTTCCTTCTTCAGCCAGGCTGACAGAAACTGTTTTAGCTTCTCGTGACTCGAATACTGAGCTTGCAGCAGGGCAGCAGGGACAGTCACTGTGCAGGTCAGCAGGGTTTTCCCCTGGGTCATGCCTGTGTGTGCTCTGCACTGTCTGCTCCTGGCCAGTGTCACAGCCAGGCTCCTGCTCAGACAGCCCTTCTGTCTGCTTATTCTTACTCTTACTCAAGCTCTTGCTAAATGAAGGTTCTCATGTCCCAGTCCTAAAATCAAACTGGGATGCCTACCTGGCAGATCCCTCATGTCTTTTGATGAAGCATGATGACTATTTCCTATCCAGCACACACGTTTCTGCTGAGTATCTCTACAAAAGCAAAGTTTGCCTTACTAGAAGGGAGACTGAAGTTTCAATAACCCCAGCCAAGCACTACTAGAGAGGAGTGGAAAGGTGGCAATTGCACATATCCGTAATTCCCAGAGATGCTTTAGCACATTCATTAGTCAATGACACAAATGATCCAGCAAACTTTCCCATCCAAAGCACTTGAGCACACTCTGGAATTACCACTCTGGTGGTACTTACAGGGTACCAAACTGCCTCCCCTGGCCCTGAGGGGGTGTGCAGGGCCAGCAGTACTGGAAAGTCTTGAAAGTGAGACCAAAATCACTTTCCTTTGAAGGACCCATTTCACCAGGAACCCAATTACAGTTTGCATGTGCTTAAACAACTCCTGACACAGCCCACACCACAGGTCTAAGACAGGGCCACTAAAACAGAGCACATGAATCACTAATATCACCATGCCTAAACTCAAAATACATTCCCAGCATTGCAGGGGCCAGAGGAAGGGAGACTCAACCATGGGTAGATCTCCCAGACTCTCAGACCCTGAACTGGTTTCTTAGTGAACAAGGCTGGGACTGTGCCTGTATCAAAGTGCACTCCTGGTATTGGACACACTAAACCCAGCCTAAAGCAGGTGACAGCACTGAGCCATTGCCTGCATCAGGGAGCTCCTGGCTCTCTCCAGGGCTCTGTGCCTAAGCCTGGCTTTGCAGCCAGCTCTCATCACCTGGACCACTGCCTCCCTCCAAACTTCCCCCTCTCTTGCAGGAGGCCTCCACACCAGCAAACTCCATGAAAAACCAGTGACTCCAGTCCCCACAGAGACACAGTGGTCACAGACCACATGCCACCACCAGTGATTTAAAAGTTCAGCCCACATCTCCCACCACCTTGGCTCCTGCAGCCCCTTCCTGCTCACCATTAGGCTCCAACAGGAATCCAGTTTACAACTTTCAGGCTCCAACAGGAATCCAGTTTGAAACTTCTAATCTAATAAAATCCAACCAACAATGATGCATTTGCTGCAGTGATGACTGTGAGCTTCAAGCAGCTGCATGGTTATTGAGCCTCCCAAATTAAACAACAATTATGGATGCTTACATTAAAATTACCTTGCAATCCCTGGATTGCCTGGCAACACTTTTCCTTCAGCATGCACAAACGATGCACTTTCCCTCTTAATTATGTAATAATTGCCATGCATTTACCCAGCAGTTCAGAGAGAACACCATTTTTAACTTTCATTTGCTAATAAAATAAGTGTTTACTCAATGATCCAAAAGAAAGTATCCTATTGTTCCTGTTACTGGCAGTGCTTGGGCATCCTATAATTTATTGTTGAATTTCACATCCTCTGCTTAAGATTACCCACATTTTGCTGGTTTTTTTTTCATATCCACTAAACTCAAAGTTTCCTCTGAGCAGGAACTGTTCCTGCAGCAGCATCCAGCACAGCACAGCCTGGATCTCCCAGCTGAGGCACACAGGCTCTGCTGCAATCTGAATGCTAATGGGAATATAAAAAGCTGCATCTTCATCCTTCAGGCTCTACTCAAAGATAGTCTTGAGATTCCCATTCATATATTAACTTCTACCAACTTTCTGGGGTCACCTGACTAATTCTGGCAGCACCTAGAAGCTTCTGGACTGTCAGACTTGCAAACATTGATTTTATTCACTGCTGGTTTTAGACAAAAAATGAGGTGGTGCTTCACTTCACTGTGGAGAGGGACTGAGACCCTGCACACCAGGCTCCTCTGCCCCAGCAAGGCCCATCATGCTCAGAGATTTGTTCTCTCTCAGTGGTTGAGGCCAAGTGAGTAATTCCTTCTGGTTTAAACTGGCTACCTGATTATTTTCTTTGCTATCCATTAGTTACTGGTTTTTTTTTAGAGACAGAAAATATTTATTTCCTGTCCAGCACTTCCCTGGTTCTCAGGATTTCATAAGCCTCTGCCACAGCACCCCTTTCAATATAATTTTCCAGTCTTAAGAGCTTTGGTCATATCTCTGTACATAAGATATTCCAGGACCATCCTGATCCTCCTTCTTGGCCTCAGTTCTAGGGAGCTGTTTCTAAGACAGGCTGAGCCAAGTTGCACCTGACATAATATTCAGGATACTCCTTGTCTGTACCTAAGAATTCTTAGAAATCCAAGTAACTGCATAATAACATTTTCTAGTTTCTTCTTTCTTTCATTCCAAATAATTCCCCAAATCTTGTTAGCCTTGTTGAATGTCACTAAGTAATGGGCTGGCATTTTCAAGAGAACTATCCAGAATAAAGCCTGAGTGAGAAGAGATAATTTAAAGCCCATCACATTGTATGAATTTTCAGTCTTGTTTCTCCCCCTAATGCATTTCCTTGCAGACAGCAACATGAATTTTTATCTGTCATTTTATCATGCCATCACTTGCTACCATGGCATTTTCCTGCCAGTCTTCCCAGTCAGTTCTAACAACCATCCTGAATAACTCAGTGCCATCATAAATCTCTCTTATTGTCCTCTACCCTTTTTCTGATCATTTAGGAATCTACTGAACAACCCAGCCCACATTATGGATTCCTATTTAACTGTACTGGTTAACTTTTCTCAGTTGTGAAAGTTGTATCCCAACTTTCCTGATTGTCTAGTTATTAATCCACAAGAGCCCATCCAACCTAAGAGATTTAGGAGCTGCTTTATGAGCTACTGTAAATGGATCTAATCAAAAGCTGTTTGGCAATTGAAACACAAGGTAATGACAGGATCACCTTATCTCCATATTTGCTGTCTCCTCTGGAAAACAATCAGACCTGCAAGGTGGGAATGTCCTCTGAAAACGCTGCTGTGCCTCTTCCCCCCCAAATCCAGCAGGGGCAATCCTTCAGCGTGTCAGTGTGCAGAGGAAGCAGGCAGTGGGGAGAGCACTGAACTCCCAGGGGCTGTTTGCAAGGAGCACACCAGGATCAAACAGGCACAGAGCCAAGCTCAGCTCACCAGCAGCTGGGCTACAGAAGCAGTAAGGGCTTTCAGGATGCCAGCACACAGACCATTCCACCTTGTGTCTTTATTTAATTCAGGGACCCCTCTTTGCTCACCCCTGCCAGGTTCATGGCAGCAGGGACATGTCAATGGCAATGGGGCCAGGAAAATCCCTGCTGCTGTTCACAGACCTATCATGGCCTCCCTGTACTGTGCAGGACAGGCACTCAGCAGTGAATCTGCCCTCAGCCACAGGGGCACAAGACATCGCCAAAAAGGGTGACAATAATCAAACAGGCTACAAAGAGGAACCCTGCTCTGGAGTCTGGGCACAGCCTGGGAACACACTTGATCCTCTCCTTCCCTGGGAGGGCACAGCAGATGGGAGTCACTCAGATGGAATCTGCAGAGGGGGTGGACAAGCACAGACACCCTCCCTGTGCTGCTCACCAGCCCTGCAGGGACAGTGCTTGCCTTGCTAAGCTAGAGACAGGGATTTGTTCCAGTTTAAGCTGACTGACTGAATCCATGACACTGCAAACACCCATTTTCTGGCTCTGCTATTGCCTTCAAAGACAGTTTCCAAAAAGAAATAACTGGAAGAAAAAAGAGAGGCACTATTTGCCTAATGTCTTTCCTAAGAGTTCTGTGACACTTCCTGGGTAAACCCAAGCTGAGTGGGGCCACCTCCAACAGCAATCCAATCCCAGGGGACCTCTCTGGCTCATCCAGCAGCCCCCCAGGGCCAAGATGCCCCTCCCCAGAGCAGGGGGCTGAGGCACACCCTGTGCAAAGCACTGCCAGGGCTGGGGTACTCACAGTACTCGATGCCCAGGACGATGTCTCGGAAGTAGAGCCGAGCCTGCTCCTCGCTGAAGGGCTGCTCACTTGGCACCTCCATGACAGGCCTGTTGGCAGGAGGGACAGCAAATCAGTGCTCTGCAGAAGGGCAGTAACACCCCTTGCTGGAGGAGTTTGTTCCCATCACCATGTCCCAGCACTGAGGGCCAGGCTCCCAAAAGGCTCTGGGTGCTGTGACACAGCATGGAGGTGTGTCCATTCTTTCTGGATGTGGTGATGCTTTGGTTACTGAGCTTGGCTAGTGATGGGTGGCTTTGCATAGTCCCTGAGCCAGCATGAGCCACAGAGCCCTCATCATCATCATCAGGATTAACTGCAATGTCTGCACAAAATAAGACAAACACTACTCACTGACTAACGGGAGAACAAAGCTGGACCTGGCCTTTGGCTCCCTGCTAAAGGTGCTCATGGCTGTGAGCACCAGCATTCCCATGAGATCCCAGTCAGCAGTGGGGACAGTGCCTGTTGCTATGCACTGCATGTCCTGCCTGCTGGGGCTCAGTCCTGACACAATATCATTGTGCAGCTGGTCTACACTGAGGCAGAATCCAAACACGAACCACTGGCTCAAAGGTTAAATGGGAATATTTCCAGTGCATTGTGCTAAACTGCTTTAAAAACCTATTTAGCTGCTCAGGGTTCAGCCACCACCAAAGCTCAGCCATTCAGCCCTGAACAGCCAAGGTTACCTGGTCAGCTTCTCCTCTCCTTTCCTCTGAATGCTGCCACTGCTGAGGGATGCATTGTCTTCTCTAAAAGCCCCTCTTCTGCCTGTGCCTGCTGAAAGCTGAGGGCAAAGAGGCTGTAAGAGCTAGTCAGAATCTCCTGCTCCCCTGTGGATGAATGGCTGGAGCTGAGGACCTCAGTGCACTGGGGGCTAATCCTGCCTGTGCTCAGCAGCTTGGCTTTGCACTTGGACACATGCCCACTGACTGGAGCTGGATTTGAGTGAGTGCTCCTGGGACACCATCCTGGCAAGCCAAACCCTGGCAGAGAACAGCCCATTGCCAAAACCAGGCTCTGTGGTTCTTCCCAGCAGCAAATCCTTCCTGTAGCATTTCCCTCTTCTCCCTTGCTGCCCATTTGACTGATGACCTTCATCTCTCATTTGCATTTTCCTGTCACTGCCTTCCCTCCCTCTTCTGCTGCTGAAACCAGAGAGCAGGGCTGGCAGAGCGACTAATGGAGTCTAATTGCCTCCTGCCAGAGGCAGCCAGGCTGCACTTGGATGAGCCACAGGTTCCCCAGCCTCAGCTGTTGACAGGAGCTCCCTCTCCTACAGGACAGGCATCAGCCTGATCACCAGGGAGACTGGGGAGCCTCTTGCCAGCAACCCACTGGAGTTGGCAGCTTGTTCATGTGGCCAGAGAGAAAAATAACCCCTCTGGGAATGTCCTCCATCCTGGACACAGAAATCATGACCTCACTGCGACTGCAGAGCTGCAGAATCAGTGCAGATGTAGCAAGAGCAGTGAGGAACCTCTCACCACCTAATCTCTTCTATCTACTATGCAAAAGAAATGTGCCAGCAGAACAGACTCTCATGAGAGGTTAGTGCTGAGGGCAAAATAAGGCAGCAGGTGGCAAGTAAATCTTGATGCAATCACACACCCCTTGTGTCAGAGGAAGCCACAATGTGGCTGGAATCCAGCAGAGTATTCCTATTCAAACCTTTTCTTCCAGGCACCTGATGAGGAATTGTCACAGAATTTATTTTCCAGATCAGAGTCTGGCACCAGGACATGTCCTCCCAGCCCATTTCTATTCAGCACATCATTCCAGGCTGTAGCAGTGCAAAAGCAACTGCAGCTGGGTTTTGCCTCCTCTGCAGACAGGGCTTGCCCCACGGGACATATTAAACCTCCATTTCACATGGGAACCTGATGATGAACACCAAAATTTTCAACAGAAGGGATCCCAGAAAGGCTACTTACCCTTTCCTCATGAGGTCAAACACTGCAAGAAAAGGAAATAAACCATGAATAAATGAGAAGAGCAGCCGGGCTTATTTGTTATTTATCACCTACAAAAAGACATCCATTCCCATACCTGCAAAATAAATTTATCTCCACTCACTTCTCTTTCCTCATCCATGACAAAGACACCAGAGGATGCAAAATTAAAATATTCATCTCTTCAGCACAGACAAATATCCTCCCTCCTGTCACTCTGTACAGGGAGGCAGCAGGTGCTAATTTATCAACCACGGTGCTGCTGTTCTGGGTGTCAGCCCTCGTTGGTTTGAGCCCTGTTGTACCTCCAAGGGAGAGTGTTTGCTATGATATCTCCACTAAATTGCTGATAGCAAAGGAGATGCTGTAAGAACATGCTGCTCCATTTCTGCTGTGTCAATCAGCAGCACAGCTACAGCTTTGTCAGAGCCAAGCACTCCCTGGCACTGAAGAGGATTTGCTGGTGTGAGTTGAGGTTTGCAGAGCACAGGAGTTTGTGTGTCTGATTAGGAGGTTGGGGAAAAGCGTTTTTCTGATCCTGCTCTGCCTTGTCCTGCAAACAGGAGAAGGATCTGCTTTTATCTAGAGCAGGAGAGCTCTTTTCCCCATGAATTATACGGGGATTTCTTGCACATCTCAAAACATCTGAGCAGATCCCCTCCCCAAAGCACTGGGCTGTGGGATCCTCTGAGAGTACACACACAACAGGGCAGCCTGAATCGGCTCCTCTTGTCCTCCAGGCTGGAGAAACTGCAGCTTGTGGGAACATTTCATTATTCAACCACCCTCTACCTTTGCAGGTTGCTCAGTGCCTGCTGCCATCCCATCCCCCTGACACACGGCCAAGTGCCTGATCCCAGCAGTCACAGGCAAGGAGCAAGGAGCACTTCCTCTAGGTCTGCTCTGCAGTGGGGGGCATTTTTGGAAGGAGAAAGGTGCAGTTCTCATCAGCTGGGGCAGCTGCAGGAAGGAGCAAACCCACTTGCAGGAGGTTCAGCCCTGAACAGAGCTACTCCTTCTGCCAAGGGAACTGCAGAGGCAGGAGCTTGATGTGCCTGAACTTCACAGGATCCCATGAGAGAAAAGGGAACACGGACAACAGGGACATGGCCACTGCTTATCACTCAGGGACCAGCACAACCTCCAACAGGACCAGGACAGTCCCCTCCTGTCCTGCTGCTGTTGCTGCTATTTCTGGGATGCTTCTCTTGCTCTACAGGTAGAGCTTGGTTCAGGGTTTGGGTTTTTTTTCCCCTCTGCAGCTTTCCACCTCATCTCTCCCCTTTCCTCCATCCCCAGGGGTTCTCGCCTTCAAACAACAGCCTCAACCATCCTCCCCACCACGGGTGCCATCACTTTGAGATGCTGCCAGATGCCATTGGGGCTTCAGCCCAAAGGGAAGAGTGGCCCTTCAAAGGAAAATTGCTTCATTTGCTAGGCAGAGTCCGGCTTCACTGCAGCTTCAAAAGTGTCCCATAATTATTTCATGAGGAGCAGTCTTTGAACCTGCTTCATCAGGAAACAGTTTGGGGAAGCAGAGATGTAAAAGGGTCAGTCATCCCCTCCTCCAGCCTGTCTCAGAGGGCACCTCAGGGCCTCCCAGGCCTGTCCCCCAGTGTTCTACCCAAATGAGGGTTAGGCTGTGGCTGGCACTTTCAGAGTCTGGAGGAGAAGAAGACAAAACGGGTGGAATTCCCTTGCCCTCTGCATAATCACCCAGTCAGGCATGGCTTCCCCACCAAAGGTGGGAGTGCTGCTCCCTGAGGAGGTCCTGGGGGTCACAGGAAACACCCCCAGACAAGACTGGAGTGGCTCTGGAGTCACTACCCCTATCCACAGCCTACAGCAGCCTCACAGCAGGGGGACAGGGAAACCATCCTGCACCCACTTCTTCCCTCCTGGCTCTGGGACTGGGCTCAGCCCTACAGAGGGGAGGGCAGAGCAGCTGTCAGGCCTTTTGAGTGTCCCCATGGCAAAGAGATGTGCACAGCTGTACTGACACAAGGTTGCCTTACCCTACTGCACGGGGCCTTTCCATCCCAGCTGCATTTACAGGCGTTTTAACTTTGCAGAAAAAAATAAGTCTGCTGAAGTTGGCACAAGTTTCCTCCCGTATTGACCCCGAGTCCTGGTAGGTGTCACTTGCATCACTAGGCCTAAGCCCAGATGGTTCTGTTAGCTTATGAGACTCACATACCCATGTACAAGTTGTCCTCTGCAGGATCATCAAGGACCTGAGAGAGATCACAGAGAAATAAGAGGAAAGAGGAAAAAAGTGAAAAACGGCAGGAAAAAAATATTTTTAAGCAAGTAACATTCCCAGTACACTGTGCTGAGCTGCAGAACACTGAGAACAATTTAGGCTAATATTTAGAGAGTCCTGCAGAAAGTGGGGTTTTGGAGGATAGATTTTCCTGTCTCCAGAAAAGTCTGGGCTTCTGCCTGTATTTGGATTAGCCTACCAATAAAGGCACTGCTTGTCCTAAACTGACCTCAGTCAATAATGAAAATGGCACTGAAGCCTTGCACTTGTGCACCTTCCCAGGCTTGTCTGCACACAAGTTTCAGTGATCAAAGCTCACTGCCATTTCTACCAGCACAGTGAGCTGCCTTCTCCTGGGCACCAGCCCAGAGCACAGGGTGAGTGTGCAGTTTGTCCTCCACAGTCAGTAACACTTTGCTTGGAATCACCAGCCTAAATTTCTGAACATCTATTTTAAACCAACTCTGGCTGAAGTAGGAGCAGCTGAAGAAAAATCCTCTTGTTGCAATACAAACCAGACTTGTTTCAGCATAACTTAGGGTGGAGAAGCAGCTCACCTCTATCAGCTTAACGATATTGATGTGGTCCAGCTTCTTTAGGATGGCTATTTCCTGATAGACTCTGTCCAGAGGTGCCATGGGCTTGGGCTGCTCCCCAGAAGATGCTTTTGACCCTCTGGGAGGAGGCCGACCTGCAAGTGTGACAGCACAGTGAAGAATTCCTCATTGGGCAGCAGCACCTGCACACAGCATGAGCAGCCACTGGCCCCTCTGCCTCTACCTGCAGCTATTCTGGAAGATCTCATGCCCTTGTTCTCATCCCAAAGCTCTGCAGTCTCCCTCCCACCTGGAACTGAGATCTCCAAGTCCTAGACCAGCTGCTCCCAGGTTCCCAGACAAGTCACCCCATGGGCACCCCATGGCCCAGCCTGCACCCAGGTGCTGTCCCAGGGGAGAAGAGACTCTGAAAGGAGGGGGAATACCCTGCCTAACTTCCAGTGCTTAATTAGGCTTCATAAATGGTGAACATGGAAGAGTCACCACTTCAAAGAGACTCCCAAAAATCAGAGCCAGGAATCTCATTACTGAGTGTGCTGAATTTCCCTGTGGCTGTATCTGCCCCCTCACCACCCCCTGCATTTTAACCAGCTCCCAGCTACACGGGCAGCTTTGACAGGAGGCCACGTTCTGCAGTCCTTGCAGACAATGTCTCTACAGAGAGACCTGGCTGAGGACAACAGGCAGACCTCTAAATGTGAGATACCCACGTGGAAATCCATACTGCTTCAAGAGTTTCTTTTTGGAGAGGACTTTCATAGCCTGGAGAAAAAAAGAAAAAGCAGTGTTAAAACTGAACAAGAGCCAAAGAGCTGATTGCTGTGACCTGGGAGTATTCTGGGCATCAGGGGCTGTCAGGGCTGCTCCTCAACCTAAGGAAGGCTCCTGGTTAGTGGTGGCCACAACAGACAGACACTGACCCAGGCTTTCCTGAAAGCACTGCTAACCATTTCTTCCATTCATTTCTTCCCATGAAAATTTTTGATTTCTTTTCAAATGGACAAAGAAAAAGGAGCCAAATTTCTGCATTTGGGGCAGAAGCTTGAGGGAAGAGGTGGGTTCCTCTGGCTGACCCACTGCTTTGGATAATGTTACAGTGATGCTCCAGCTCAGAGCCATTTCAAGGCTGCTTCATCTTATGTTTTGTCTTGTCAGGGGGTATAAGAAGCAAACTGAACCCAGGCAGCTGAGATATGGGAAGGGGTCAGGGTAATTCTTCCTGCCATCCAGCTGGCATTAGCCTAGTGGCAAAAGGCAATCTGAATTTAATAAACAGTCTTTGTGCCTCCATCTGCTCTGTGCATTAATAACCTTTTGGAGGGCCACTCAAACCCCCCAAGTGGCCCAGCAGATGAATATTTAATAAGAAACCAGCTCATGGTACAGTTTGCTTAGGAAAACAGTCTGTGCTTCCAGGAGCTGGGATTACTCACTCCTTCCCCTAGCCTAAGCAGTTACTCCTATTAATAAAGCATCCAATATGTAATTCACACTGGAGTGATCCCTACAAAATCTAACTAACCAAGGAGTCCTGCAGGACACAGCCAAATGCCCAGGAATTTTGCATTAGTACCACAGAGGCAGGGTCTCTGCCCCACTACCTGTTTTTAACACATATACCAAGAACAGGTCACCAAACCCATTCCAGTGAGCTCCATCCCAGGTGTTGTTCCTGGCAACTATGGCACCACATGCCCAAGGATCCCCACCTCCCATCAGTGCTCCCACTGCAGCCAGGTTCATGGCTTGCTGCAAGGATTGTTATCTTTGGTACTGATCCAGTGAAATCCTCTGGATTTGCACCCGTGTAATTGAGAAGAGTCACTGTGCAGTGTTTCAATCCTGCCTGACAGCTCCAAACCAACTGTTAGAAATGATGGTGTTGAGAGACAGACTCAGAAGTGCTTATCTTTGACTTAGCACAGCTCTGTGTCCAATACAGGCAGCCAAATGACTCATGGTCTGCTGAAAGAGGATCCAAGATGTGCACAACCACCTCCAAATACGGCCAGGACCAAGCCCCAAGGACTTCCCACGCTCCCCACTTTTATCTCTCCATAATGAAAATTTATGAGAAAAATCAAAGGAGTTGGTACATCCATTTCTCTTTCAACCACTGCCAACCCAGGAGGAGAACACTCCTCCTGCTCCAATCCCATCTTGAGTCCTTGCTGCCTTCTGGCAAGGAGATTTAGAAAAAGGACAAAATAGAAGATGCAATTTGCTGCTGAAAGCTCCCAAGTTTGGGAGCTTGGGGGCCTCAGCCTGAGGAACTGAACCATCAGCACCAGCCATGCCCACATCGGGACAGTTCTTCCCAGGAGAAGCTGGAGGGAGCAGGAAGGTACAGAGAGGAGCAATAGCTGAGACAAGACTTGCTCTTGGGGACAGAAATGAAGGGAACAGGAGCTACTGCTGTCACCCAAACTCCTGGAAGGATGCCCCAGAGGCAGTGGGGGGGTTACTGCACCATGGGTGAGCTGACTGCAAACCACCACTACTGCTGGGAAAGAAGCACCAGGATTTCTTGTACCAGCTTTGAAGCAGCTGCTACTGCACAAGCAGGGCTGGGTCAGAAGAGAGGACCTGTCCCACTGCACTGACAAACTCAAACAGGGACAAAAAGCAAAGTTCATCATGCAACAGGCCAGAACCACTTAATTATCACAAGAGCAGAGAGGAGGGCACGTGGCTGTGAAGGCTCACTTTAATTACAGTGAGCTGGCAGGACCAGGCTTCCTCCTGAACTGTGGCTGCTGCAATGGGAGCATCTCAGGGATGCTTCAGCAAAGCTCTCCGGGCTCACATGCATGACAGAGCCAAAGACATTTGTACTCACAGGCAGAGCTAATTACCCAGATAATGCCTTTCTGATAAAGAACCAGCTCAGAGCCAAGCTCAGGGATTTTCCCTTTGCACAGGCAAGTTTTGCTTCAGTCTTCTCAGGATAGGAGGCAGCCTGGAGATTTCCTCCACACATCCTCCTCCCAACTATTCACATGTGGACACGGGTCTTGGCATTTCCCTTTGAGAAACAGCAGGAACCGTGTGCTTTTCTCTGATGTATGTTTATTAGCTAAGTTTACTGCTCTCTTCCTATCAACCCTACAGCTGGAAACCACGGGGAAGCTGCCTAAGGGAAAGGAGATCCCTGGCTTAGGGAGAGGAGGAACGCCTGTGACACAGCAGCTTTCACAACAGTGAGACCACAAGCTGTGGGTAATGACAATGGCAAAATGGCCATTCGTTCTGGGAGGGAAGGGTGACAAAATGACTGAACTAAGTGACCTTATCACCTGTCCTTGGTGATGCTCTCACAGTGCTTACAATGTCATTTTATTTGCTATGGGAGAGACTCGTACTGCAAGGGCAGAAGCCTGTGCACAGTCCCTGCCTACAGCTCCCAGGGGAGTGGGAAGCTGCTCACTGGTCCCTACTCACCACTGAAATCCTCTGCTAGTGCATGAGGGCACACTGTGGGAATGCTGAACAGACCAGAGAGGGTTTCCAGCCCTGCCTAACAACATCCCTCAGACAAAGCAGCTGAGAGGGAAGCTCTGCTGGGAAGGAGTGTTATGAACCTTAAAAAAACAAAAATCTTAAACCAGACAGGCTTAGCTGCCATGGCCTTAAAATCCTGCTGCTGTGTTTGTCACCTTTTGTCCCATCTGCAGAATCCCACCATCAGGCTGTGCCCATCCATGCTGTGCCACCACAGCAGGGATGCTGAACTGGAGCTCACCTGTCTCCAGCTGCTACCCCGGGTGACCCAGCCCCTCACCAGCCCTCAGCTGAACAGCACGAGGTGTTTGAAGAAGCCAGAGACCACTTCCCTGCTCCCAGCCACTCTGGAGTGCAGCTGGCAGTGGTTCAGCAGCTGTTATGTGAGCAAGAGGATGAGAAACACAGGAGCTGTGCCTTCCCTTCCCGCCTGGATGGCAACCAAAGTGGATTCTCGAGGGGCTGGAAAGTTCAAGGCTAGCTGCTGGCCACTTTCTCAGCAGCAGCACTTTGTTCAGCCACTCCTTTCATAAACTTGGAAGGAATTTCTCCCCATCACTGAGACTTGGTAGGAAACAGCCCTCCATGCAAAGATTGTTAGGTACAAACAGAGGTAGAGAGCACAATCACATAAATCTTGTTTCTTAGGAAACAAGATTAAAAAAGAAGGATGAAAAAAAGAAAAATCCACTGACAACCTAAATGCTATTGCCTTATTCCAGCAGTAGCATAACAAATGCCCATCATAACCACTTTTCTTTGCAAGCTGATTTAGAGATTGAAAATAGGGGGAAGATATGACCTGAGGCATCAAAGAATCAAATTCCATCAGCACAATGATTCCAATCTAGATCTCTGCTTGGACACATTTGCCTTTGCTTTTTATTTGCTGCTTTTTCACAGAACTTGGCCTTTGATTTTTCCCCTAGTCATCGACAAAGCATCTCCTTCAAACTGAGACACTGAAACCTTTCCAGTGTAAAGGATTCCTTGGCAGGGCCCCACAGAAGCTGCTGTAACAGCTTCATGTGCCCCAGGAGCAGCAGGGTCCTCTGCTCTGGCAGCCAGCTCTGCTTTCCAGTGGGGTGTCCTCCTTGGAGGGAGCACTGGGTCACATATCTGGTGCAGAAATTCCAGTTTCCATGGTCTAACACATTCCCTGCATGCACTGATGTGAGCCAGGACACTTTACAGCCCTCCCAGCAACCAAGGGCAAAGCTCTTAGAAGCACTCCCTCATCTCTAATGGAAGGTAAAAAACCCACAAAGTAAACACAAGCCATCTACATTTTTTCCCAAATGTGGTGATCGAATTTTTTTCTTGAGAGTTTTTCCTAATTCTAGGCCAGATCTGAAGCTCATTAAAGCAGCAGCAATCTTTCATTTGGCTTTGACAGGAGCTGTATTCAGTCCTTGCTCCCTACAAACTCTGCCTTTTTGAAGGGAGCTAGCAAAGGGTCCCACACCTCAGCAAGAATCAGGAGACATACTCTGAATTATGCCCCCAAATCATTTTTTTTTTCTTATTTCTTTACAATTTTTGGTCCTTGTTATTGCAGCACACTAACTTAAAGACAATAAAGAAGGCAGCAACACCCTGGTCTCATGCTGAACCACTGCAAATGAAAATCAGTTATAGAAAGAGAATATCACAGAATGGTTTGGGTTGGAAGGGACCTTAAAGATCATCAGTTCCAGCTCCTGGCCATGGACAAGGACCCCTTCCATTAGACTAGAGTGCTCCAAGCCCTGTCCACCCTGGCCTTGCTCACTAAAGGCCAACCAAGGGCTGATCTCCTCCAAGTACTTCTTACTGCTTTTCATCACTGAGATAACAAAGCATCCAGAGCTAAATCTGGGGGAAAACAAACACACAAACACACAGAAAACGCCCTTCCCAACTATTAGAATCACAATTGCTTCTATTAACTGCTGGTAAGAGTCATTAGGAGGTTGGGGTGCACTGCTGAGGAACAGGCAGGACGGGAAGGATAAGCAGGGCAGGATGAAGTTGTCTGAGCTCTGGGACAGCTCAAGGCTCAGGCACACCAGGCAGGTGGAGAGCTCAGCAGCCATGAGCCAGTTATGCAATTGGCACTGTTTCTCTGAATCCTTGGAAAGTCTGCCAGCTCCTGAGCTTAATGCCTTGGAAAAGCAGAGGTGTCTCCATCACGGCTTGCCCTCCCAGAAAACACAAGCACGGGGAGCTGGGAGGATGAGGGTGCCAGGCCTGGGACTGCAGCTGGGCAAGGGCACAGCTCCCCCTGCCCCAGCCAAGAGGGGAACAGGGACACAGAGTGGGGCACAGAGTTTGGAGATCACTGCCTTTCACAGCTGCCTGCCCCCTGCTCTCCTGCACTGACACCCAGCAGAGGCACACACAGCCCTGGCACACACACCAGGGCACTGCCCTGGGCCCCCAGCATCCCAGCTGGGATCCAGCCCAAGCCCAGAGGGAGGATGGGGTGAAGCAAAGAGCACATCCCTGCAGTGCTGGCACCACGGGGGGCTTTGTGCCCTGCCTGCCTTCAGGTGAGGCTCAAACACTGCCCCTCCCAGGCTGCAGCACCTTTAAAGGGTTTGCTTAGATTAGAAACCAAGATTAAGTGGGATTAACTAACACACACCAGGCTAACCTGCACACAGGCTTTCACTTTTGGTTTTGATTTGACCAGCTAAATCTACATCCATGGGGTTAATCTGTGTCCAAAACAGGGACAGGAATGCAGCAGGCAATGCTATCCTAACCCAGCCCTCCCCTGGCGAGCTGTAACAGATGCCCTGCCCTCCACTGGGCAGCTCAATGGGATTTCCTGAACTAAAGGGCAGTGCCAAAATGTAAGGATTACAATTTTCAAAGGAAAAGTATTTTCAGCTGGACATAAACATGATTTATGGATGTGATGTGTTCCCACTCTGCTGGCATGCCTGTGCTGGTGGGACAGATGGATCAGGGAAGCCAGGGCTGGCATCCATCACTCTGCAGAACAAACCCTCCTGCTGCAGGGCATGGCAGGGAGGATTTGGAGGGCAGCAGAGAAAAGGAGCCATTGGAAAAAGCTCTGGTGCAGCTGTGAATCAGCTTGGAAAGGACAGCAGATGGAAAGAATTGTGACTCCTTTCTTTGGCCAGCTCCAGGGCACCTTGTCCAGATTTTTGTCTCATCTCTTCCGTGCTTCATTTCAAGACATTCCTGCTGCAGTTTCGTGCCTGCTGGAAGCACAGAAAGGCTAAGGAATACCCACAGGCACACAATCCCCACCTGACCCTTTCAACCTGGTGTGTCACTAGTAATAAAGAGACAGGGAGGAAAAGCTATCTGGGGAGCAGGGGGGAATGAACATGTTCTATGTTCCAGAGCACATTCCTATTCCCCTTTGTCCCAAGGCCAGCAGGGACAAGCAGCAGCACAGGAGCTGCCTGGGTGCTCTGCTGGGCCCATTTTCATTCACATGCAGGAGCAACAGCAGGACACCCTCACCAAATGCAGCGTGGAGCAGCAGCTCTGGCAGGGCTGTGTTGGGCAGCAGATCCCTGAGCAGATTCCTGCCCTGGGATCCAGCACAAACTGCTGGAAGCTCTTTCCAGAAGCCTCCAGGCACAGCCACACACAGCAAGGAAGTTTTCCTTCCTTCCTTCCAGCTCCTGCTCTCAGCCTGAACAAAACAAACCACAGGGCAAGCCCAGGGACATGAGCATATCTGCAGACAGATTTTGCAAGAATTTCAGCTGGGATGGTTGGGATTCAGCTGCCTCTGAAAAGGGAGGCACAGAGCAGGAGCCTTCAGCATAAGCAGCCTTTAGGAATATGGAACTCTCCAACTCTGGCTTGGTTAAAGCCCAAGATCTGCCTTCTGTCTTGTACCCTACACCTCTGCCCTGACAGTGAGCCTCCCCCACTGTCCCCCAGGCATTTCCCAAGGGGGCAGGATGGAGGGAGCCTGGCACTGCCCAGCCACACCACACTGCTCAGCATTTTCCTGGGAAACGCCCCCATTTCCTTACAAAACACGTTCCAGGCCAGGCTTCCAATGCACAGCAGGTGCTGAATACCACCACCCACATGTCTCTAATTTCAGGTGACCTGCTTCATAGCTAGAAAATGCCAAGGCAAATCAGCACCATGCTTCTGCAGCCTGCCTGTTACATAAGGCACCCACCCGTCCCCTCCTGCCCAGCAGAGCTTCAGCTCCTTGCAAGCCACCCAAATCACGAGTGCACATCCTGAAAGAGGCCAGGTAGAGAGGAGAGCACCCAGCTCTCAGGGGGGGAAGTGCAGCAGCAAAGAGGAGCAGAGGAGAGACACACTTACATAATACTTGTCATCGTTCTCGTTGTAGGCCAGTTTCACAACGCCGTAGGAACCCTAAAAATAAACAGGAATTGCACAAGTCAGCTCAGCAGCTTCACCTCTTCTTCTTGCTGCTCGAGGCTAGGAAAAAAAACAACTCCCAAAGCCCCAGACCATGCTGAGCCCTGAGCAGTCTGCAGGTGATGAGACCCTGCAGCAAGGTTGTGTGTTTTGGCAGCTCTGTCGAGCCACTGCAGGATTATCAGTGTCTGGAGGAGCTGGCCCATCACCTCCTGCCCTGAGCCAAAGCCACCACGTCTGTCTGAACTCAGACACGGGTGGGGAGCAGAGAGAAAAATTTTCAAGCAGTTTTTTTTTTGGTGCAAATTTGGAAATTCTGCCTGAACACTTTTCCTCTTCCCTCAACCAGATGCTGCCCAGGCAGATGCAGACCTGGACTGCTGCTGTATCCACAGCTCCAGGGACAGCCTGAAGCCAAGCTCCATCCAAACTGCTGGTTTTGCAAACTTCCAAGTAAACACTCATTTTGTGCAAGTGAGACATGACCAGGTATTATGCCTGACAGATGCCTGTTGAATAAACGAGTGGGATGAACACCAGAGCCTTCAAAATACTTCTCTTGACTTCACTGAGAGTTGAAATCAAGTTCTGGTCCCAGAGGAGACTAACAAGCCATCTGGGTGACCCTGAAGCCTCTACCAACCTCACAGTGCCCATCTGCTTGCTGTGACCCACAGGGAAGGAGGCAGGGACAAATCCACCTGAGAGAAGGTTTCACACTCTCGTTAAACCATACACAAGTCCTCCTAGGTGGGTCTGAAGCTGTGTGTGAGTTTGGGGTCTCCTGTGCCAGCAGTGGAACCTGCAGCCTCACTCCCTGCCTGCCAGCAGCCAAATGCACAGCCCATGGCACAGATGGTGGGGCTGCCATCCCAGCCTGGTGCCTTTTGTTTTGGGGACATTTGGGCTAATTAAACTCCTGCTGAAGGTGTCTGCAGCTCAGGGTGAAGCCTCCTCTGACTGCAGTGTTCCACTGCAGAGGCAGGCACAGCTTCCAGACAGCACCACTGCTTGTGGACCCATCTGCAATGGTGGCACAAGGCCAAATGTGCAGGTGTGTGAGCTGCTCCCCAGCCCAGACCTCTAAATAACTTCAGAGGAATCTCTTTGGAATCATTCTGCAGCTTTTAAACATGCACTGGAATTAAATGAGCACTGCACACGATGTAAAAACTTTAACTAGTCCTGATGGGGACCAAACATCTGCCCTGATCATCTTTTTGGGTTATTTTTTTCTTCCTTGTTGTGTTGTATTAATGTATCAAAGGCTCTTAGTGTTACATTTGGCAAGCAAACACCCTGAAAGGGAGCCAGCTTAACCACCTTCTGAGGGAGGAAAAATAAATTTAGATCTCAAAGGAAGTAACTCCACTGTGACCTTGAACAAAACTTGCTCAAATTAATAAGGGAAAAAAACCCCTAAAAACAATTAAAAAAACCCACCCCAAACCAAACACAACTTGCAAGGAGTCTTGGCCAGTGAGGTCCCTTGATCTGGCACAGCCTTTCCACCCCTATCACATGTGTGACACAGGCTGGTGTGACCAATATGAGCCCCAGTACGTACCTTGCCTATTTCACTCTGCAGCTTGTACTGGTTTAATTGCACACAGTCCTGCAGATCAAAAGGAGAACATAATTAGAGTATTGGTAAAGGAAATGACTGAGTTTGAATCAGGTTCAAGTAGCAGCAGAGTGCTAAATAATTAAAGACTTAATCTTACTTAAACTGGTGTATGTTACACTATAAACACTGCTGGTTTTTTTTCGCTCTTTTTTTTTTGACAACCCAAGACAAAACAATTATGGGCTGAATTCTCATTCTGTGCTGGTGTGAAACCACCTCAATTCCCCAGCACTGCCCTAAGCTCAGCCCAGGGGGAGTGACAGCAGCCCCTGGCCTGTTCACATGAACCCTCTGTACTGGGCTGTGCTCAGTACCAGGCAGGAAATCCCTGTCCCAGCTTCCCCAGGCTTTCTCAGCCTGGCAGCATCCCAGCATCCAGCCCAGGGTGACAGCATGGACCTGTGCCCTTCCCACCACAAGCCTGGCAAAGACAGGGCCACTCTGGCTGTGGCTGCACCCAGAGGAGCCCTCACCTGGGGCATGGGCTGTCCTTCCAGGTGAGCTCACACAGCCAAGTTCCTCTGCCATGCAACACAAACAATGGATTCCCTTCAGCTGGTATGGTATTGGCCAAAATAAATCAGCCCAGAGCAGGTCTGATCTCTGCTGGCAAAGATTCCAGCCCTGAAACCCCACAGGGTGGGGATGTGATGATGGATGCTGAGCTCCTGCACACAGCAGGAGCAGCAAAGGGGGAAAACAAGGTAGAACTCAAGATCCACGCAGCCACCTGGTGTTTAACCCACCCTTCTTTTGGAACTGTACAGCCTAAAAGAAAAGCAGCACGGTGAGAGGGCCCATGGGGCACAGCACAGCACAGCACAGCACAGCACAGCACAGCACAGCACACACCCCTTGCTGCAGAGCTGAGCTCTGCTGGGATCTGTGCAGTGCTGGCACCGTGGGCTGCAGTGCAGTTTGCTCCTCACTGAACACAGCACTGAACTGCATTGCAGGGGGAGGAAGAGCCCCCAGCTTGGTGGAGTGAGGAAAAGGAGGAGTTTCCAAGCCCAGGACATGGTGTGGGCTAAGCCTTAGATGGGAGGCACTTCCCAAGCCTGCATTTTGGAACGTTTCTCCCCAAGACTGCCAAGCACTAAAGCAGGCTGGAAATTCACAGCCAGCCTCTGCACTTCTTTGGGAACAAAGCTGATATAAAACATGCAGACAGGTAGATTAGCCTTCCCATAAACCTCAGAATAGCCCTGCCATCTACAGAAGGAGCACCACAACATAAAAGCAGTGCCAGATGCCTTCAGTCCATTTGTAAGGACAGGGGTGTAAGAGTCCCTGCCCCGGGCAGCATTCAACCAACAGCAACACTCCTCTGCCTCTCAGGACCCAGCAGAGGTGTGGGAGATGATGATTTTGACTCTTCTCCATCACCAACTAGAAAACATTCCTAATGCTCCTAACTCAAGAGATCATCACAATAAAAAGTAAAGAAATGGGGGACTGTTGACTTTTAAAGCCTACAAGTCATGGCCTGTCAGGAATACAAAGAATGGTTTAAATCTTGATTTTATTGCCAGGGAAGGAAGTTTTTTCCACCTCCTTGACAGGGAAGAGCAGCTAGCTGTGAGTAATGGGGCCACAGCAGTGTATTAACTCTGCTGTTAGCAAAGCACTTATCTTTGCAAAGGTAAAAACCAATCCATCAGAACTAGGAGCACCAAGAGAGGAGAAAGCACATCTTGGCTTTTGCTGGGTCATAAGGCACGAGGGGCCTGAAAGGATGCCCCTACCCAAAGGAGGGGGCAGCATGCAGGAACCCGGGGTATGGACAGTGTTGAGGCTGTGCTTTGCATCCTGGTGATTTTCACAGATTCAACAAGAACACTTTTCTGATGATGTCTCTTGTCCTGGCTTCTCTGTGCTCAACTCTGTACCCCTTGCCTAGTCCTGTGAAACTGCAGTGCTGCAGAGGGTGAAACACCCACTGGAAAAGTGATCATTCCTCCAAGAAAGCCTCCAACAATCTCACACCTCCTGCTCTTCAAACCAGCAAGCTTGAAATGACCAAGTCTTGCTATGAGGCCTCCTCCCTGAGCAGGAGCAGACACAGCATTTCACACACAGCCATCGACTCTGCTCTGCACCCAGTACCTTGTTTTAATCTCTAAAGCACCAAGTGCTGCTTCTTCTTGCTCAGACTGCCAAGGAAGCCATGGTGGCATCTTTTCTCTCCCTCCAGAAGGAGCAGAGCCCTTTGTGAGGGATGCAGTGCATCCATCCATCCATCCA